AGGTTCTGCATTCCTAGGAATGTAGAAATTATTTCTGTAATCAAACATCATCACTGCACTAAATTCTTGAAGACTTTAAGGTATTTTCCTGGGTGACTGATTTCAAGCTGTGAAGAAATTCCTTGTAGAAGTGATTGGTTTTGTTGGTGTTCCAAATATTATTAATATAGTACTACAGTAAAGTCTTGTATGTTTTTGTATTATCCAAGGCTTAAAAAAATGTTAAAACAGATGTTTTGAAGAAATCTCACAGAGTGAGACAAGGTGATCTCACCTAAACAAGAATAGGCAGTTTAAACCTCAGGCTTCTTCTATATGTCAATGAATGTAGGAGTTTAAAACATTCTGTTAGCTTTGTTTTAAGATGTCACACTGTAAAATGATGCAGTTAACTCAGCCTGCCATTTACCCTGCTCACTAGTGGTTGAAGATGGCAGGTGGTTTTGGCCAACCAAGCTCTTAAATGCACCTTCTCCCTGCATTTTTAATCTTGCTTTTTGAAAAAACCAAACTCAGTGGCAAGTTCCTCAGACTTTAGATAATTGAAGCACAATCTTTTCCTCTTTCAAGGATTTGGTTTTGAGTCACTTCAGATTTCAAGTAGGTTTCAAAGGTCACTGAAAAAGACTGTGAGATTTAATATCAATAATTGTCATTCCAGATCATTTTACACTTGTGCCAAATTCACATGAGCTAGGTGCATTTAAAACTATAGAGTACAAGGCTCTCCTATTACTCAGGCATCCAAAGCTGACCTTATAATTTGCAGACTTTAAAGGGAGAAAATGTTTGTGAATTCCCCCAAATCAGAAGAGGAATTCATGCAAGTCCATACAGCTTCCAAGTATCCAGAAGATGAGACTGTCCCATGTCCTACTGTAGGGCCCTCTGCGCTCATATTTTGACTCTATGCACATGAGGTCAGTCAGGCATTTCTATGTTTTGGCTCTGTATCCCATTTAATCTTGTGTGTGAAGTGAAAGAGATTATAGACAGGATTAAAAATGAAGGTATCTACAGGTGGCAGGGACGGCCTAGTTCTCAGTGCACATTACAGTCAGAGCACAATAAAAAATATCTTTGCCAAGATGATAAAGAAGAAACATTCTCTTCGTTGCCAACAGTAAATATATAGGGAGGAGTAAGTGTTTCATGAATAAAGTGTCCCTAAGGAAATCTTGGAAGACTTACGTGTATATTTACCTATTTTTAGTCCCAGCAGCAGTAGAGCTATGTGAATCTAGTGCTCTGCCCAGGGTAACTAGTTTGTCCAGAATTATCACAGCTATCTTTTTCACGCTTGTTACTATTTGCTCATAATGAGAAAAATTAGGCAGCCATGCCAGACTTTTGAGAACCAAAACAATGGTGTCCATGGTATCACGAATCTCTCCCTCTTTCTCTCTCACATACACACACACACAAACACAGAACCTGAGCAACTGTCTGCTGGTTTCAGAATAAATTGAATAAGAACTCAAAATACAACACCTCTTTCACAGCATAAACATATTTTAGGACCTGATGCGCTTATTTTTTGTTAGATTATTGACCTAGAGGAAAATCTGAGCCCAAAGTGACAGCAGAGATCTGATAGCAGCTCTCTGTCTATTAGATTATCTTGTATTTATCTACAAAAAATATGTAAAAAATTCTATGTAAGAAAAAAGTCAATGAGGCAACTGCAGATTAAATTTCTGCAACTGGAAAAAAATAATTTCTCATATTTAAGCTCTTCGTTCTCCCTGCTGCTTTATGTTATTTCTCTTTTAACTGCTGTTAATGAAAGGCTCATCAAACAGCAGTGCCAATACACGGTAATATTTAAATGCTGAATTAGTCTCTTAGTCCTCATGGCAGCTCCCTTTCAGCTATTTTCCCTGCATACTTTGCATCTCCATTTGTATGGATGAGAGTGGGGTGCACATGGAGAGAATGGAGCAAGCATTGATCAGCTCTGCAGCACAGAGAGAAGAATTTGCCTCCTGTCTTACATATTTTAAAAACACCAAGGTAAAACATCTCCTGCTGAACTAAGTCCTAGATGCTCCTTCAGCAAAACTTGCTAAAATTAAGTCAGTAACTCAAAAAAAGGCTTGGCTTAATTTATGTCTTTTTGTGGTTGCCATTCTAACTTCTAATAACTTGATCGACTTGTTGTCTTACTTTTAGTGTTGGTAAAAAAAACCCTGCCCCTGCTTCTAAATGCAATTCTGCTTTGAAAAGTGACTAAAAATGGCATGCAGAGTCCATTTTTATTCTGTGCCAGCTACTTCCTTCTCATATGTGCTCAGTTAGTAAGTGAGGAACCTTTTCCTTACTTGTGCCAGCCCTGGAAATTTCAGGTGGAACCTACGGGTCAACCTGGAATTTTTTTTTCTCATGTAGGATGACTGAAAACCAAGAATCCTGCAAGCAAGAGTAACCTCTCAATTATATGTGTGCAATTCTGTAGTCTTCTATGGCTTTGTGTGAGGCTTAAATGACTGGAAATGATCTGTGGTGATAAACAGGAGAGAAGAGAAACCAGCTCAGAGTTCTTTATACTGGAAAAAAGCAGTGAACAGTGATTTTAATTATTAAGTGAATAGATAGAAAATATATAAGACTATTTAAAAAAGAAAGGTGCTTGCTTGAAATTCCATTTTTTTCAGAAATCTCCACCTTATACATTCAGCATTCAAGCAGACAAGGAAAATTAAATGTTTTTCTTTGTTCTCGGATGTGACATTCATGTCATAGGAAGAGAATGTATAGTCCTCATAACACAAAAAAATCTCCAAAATTATCTGAATTATTTTGCATGCAATTGCAAGATAAAAGACAGTTTATGAGAAGTCCTCTTTGTGGAATGCAGCAGGTCATAAGAACACCGTGTGTACATTTTGCTGTATGGGAATGATAACGCATTATGGGCATTTTATTATTTATTAATTATTCTTTGCAGATTAAGCAATCAAGCATGAACATTTTCTAGTCTTCTGAAATCTCTGTAGCCTGAAAGACCGGAGTTGAAGTTTATCTGATATATATAAAAAATACTTAAGGTAGCAAATAGCGAGCAAAAGTTTTCCCAGTTCAGAGTTTTATCCTGCAATTCCAGTGCAGATTAAACTGAACTTTACAAGGCATCCTCAGTTAGCAAGAGTAAAAAAAAAAACAAAAGTAAGATTCCCAGTAATGTAAATACTGATCAACTGGGCCTTTGCTTGGATGAAATTGTTCTATTCTGATTTTTTCTTCCAGTTGTGTGTAATACTGGAGCCAATGCAGGAACTGATGTCAAGACATAAAACTTACAATCTAAGTCCTCGAGACTGCTTGAAGACTTGCTTATTTCAAAAATGGCAGAGAATGGTGGCCCCACCAGGTATGTTTCATTTCCAGTATTCCACTTATTTTACAGTAAAATTAATGGAGAAACAATAGGAAAATTTACTTCTAAAGGAAAGCAATTAACACTGCTCCAAAAGGAAGCCTGAAAATTATTCTGATGTTTTATGATTTGTCTGACACAACTGATTTATGGATGTGCACATTCAGATGGTTTCACTATGACTGGGATATAATTTAGTACAAAAAAATGTGTAGATGGAATGCAAAATGCCTACTGACTCCATTAGAATTCATCGTTTATGTAATCCAGCTTCCTGCTGTGACTCTGAAATTACAGCTACAATTCATAATTAATTGTCTTTGAGACTAATATAAAGTTATTTACAGGCCTGAACCTAATCTCCTTCCTCTTACACCTCAAAATAATAATTCTCTCGCTTTTTCAGATTATAAAAGTTTGCATATCTAAGACTATTTGCACGGGTGCTCAGGTCAAATTTTGAGAAGTACAATTGCCCCTCTGTTCTTTGCCATTTTAAGCAAAGCTGTGTAATTGTCCTGTTTTGACCTGAGTTTTGAAGGTTTGCAGGGAAATGGCATTCAGCTGTGCTCTCTTGGGAGTGGGAGATTTAAAGGTGAAGGCCCCAATCAGAGGCACAAGGAGCTCAAATGCTAGTTGCTTGTGTGCCACAACAGTAGGGTAGAAAGCTACCTTAGCCCTCCTCTCTGGCTGGGTCAGTTGAGGCTGTACCCTACATCAGAGTAAGGCCTGGATTTTTGTTTAGCACTGTTGCTTGCTGTGTGACCTTCAGCAAGTTACACAGTCCCTTTGAGCACCATGATAGTTCTCAGGATACTCCAACTGGTAAAATGCTTTGAAATGTCTTTATAGATAATGCTGGGATAATAAGTTTTGGTAATCCATTACACAAAATTGAAAGCAGCTTCCATTGATTTAGGCCCAAAAATCATTCTATGGTTTGTATGTTAAATCTACTACTACTACTATTAAACTTAGAACTTTAAAACTAGATGAAAAAATATTCTAGCACTTCTGCTTATGGATCATTTTAGTTCATGCTTTACAGTATCTGCCATTTGCTTTCCTTCTTATCATTTTATTGCAGCAGAACCCACAAGACAACCAACAACCAAACGGAGAAAAAGGAAAAACTCAACCAGCAGCACTTCCAACAGTAGTGCTGGGAACAATGCAAATAGTACCAACAGCAAGAAAAAGTCAGCTGCTGCAAACCTGAGTCTATCAAGTCAGGTACCTGTAAGTCTCGCTTTCCTTTTAGGCCTGAATCACTTACGGTGCTTTTATTCTTTCTTTACATTGTAAAGAAGGTGCATTCTTGAGCCAAAACTATCACAAGCAAAAGGCAATCTTGCACAGTGTGCTGTGGAAGCTGGGGAATTAGTGAAGAGATGTGAAGGAACTGGTCTGCAGTGCAGCTTTAACAAAGGACCCTCAAACCCAGGTGTCCTGAGGATCAGATGTGATTTTCTAAAGGCCTGGGCCAGCTCCCCTTCTTATCAAAGGGAGTCCTTCCACTAGTGGTGGGACTAGATTGGGCCTCATGTTTTTAGATATAGCAAGAGCCTTGCAGACTTCCGTCTGCCAAGTGCTAAGTGAGGATGTGTCTCTGTGGTGCAGGACAGTCACACCTGAAGAATCTGCTGCTCTCTCTACTTTAGTACCTTACTTCTAATTGGTGCCAGATTCAGATGCTGAACAGGAACAGGTTATGAATTAACTTACCTGTTAGGGTTATTGCTTTTTCCAAACACTCCACTTGCAGAGGGTAGATCCCTTGGAATATGGCTCTCAGCTTATCCACCCTGCTAGCTGGAACTGTTGACATCCTAATTGTACAGGGAGACACCAAGTCATTTCCAGAGTAGTAACTGTACCAGCACTAATAATGTCACATTTACTGCCTTACTGACAATATAGGGCTAATCAGTCCCCAAATTGTGACAAAGTGTGTCTTAGTCAATAAGGAGATAGCTTATGCATTTTAAAGCTTGTGAAATTAATTTTATATTATAGGAAACATAAAGTCATACCCTGGGAATAACATGCAGGGATTTTTATTGGATTTCTGATCAGCAGATAGGAAAGGACTAGGTCTCCTCTGAAACCTGACAAAGAATATAGGCCTTTTGTTAGCACAAAGCAGACACTTCCTAGGAAACTTGAATACCCAGATAAAAAAAGAGGAGTAGACTAACACCGGTGAAATGAAATGAAGATTTTTTTTGTTTAGCAACTGATTCAGCAATCCAGTAGTTTACAGAAGCTTGGGGCTTCAGTACATTAAACTCATATTTCCTCCTTGTCATATTAACATTTTCACATGGCTCACATCCCCAGAGTCAGATTCTTTCCCTTATATAGGCATCTCTGTGTTTTTCTGGCAGCACAAAACAGTCAGAAGCCAGCTACCTGATCCCCTGGTGACAGGGACCACTCTAACTCACTGACAGCATGCCACAAATCCCCTTGGATCAATATTCAAACATATTTAAGAAAAAAAACAGCAATTAAGTGCAAAATTGAGCAACCATTTAGTTCCCTGCTGTCTCCCAAGTTTAAAAGACAATAAAATCACTTCATCTCACTACTTTCTGCTCTGAGTTCAGTTCAGTAAGACCAGAATCTGACCCCCTGCCACTCTTCATCCTGCCCCTCCCTGGAGAGACAACTTTTGTTGGCTTCAGTGGTAGCCATGTATGTTTGAGTGTAATTGAGCCCTCTGTCACTCCCGCTGATATTGAAGCTGACTTCAGGTACTGAAAGGCTACTCCTCACACATGAAGTAGTCAAGGCTGCTCCTCCTGATGGAGATGATAGTTGAGCATCTGAGACACATTGGTGAAGTTTATCATGGTATGAGGGATGGATTTTTAGCCTTCATTTACTTTCAGGATGTTGCATAGTCAATGTTTTTCAATATTCTTTTCTTTCTGTACCAGAGTAGCAAAATGGTCCAAACTCTTTCATATGGAGGATCAGGTTCCATTTTTAGGACACTTCTCCTTTCCATCTGCAAAGGGGAAAATGCTTAGCTGTTTGATTTGACATACTAACAGCTCTTCCTATCTTCCCCACAGCAAAGATAGCAAACCAGATGGAATTGATGGTTGCGCCACCCTGTAGGGTAGACAGAACTTGAAATAATTTTAGCAGTAGGATATTTTTGTGCAAAACTATTCAATGCTTTTCAGTTTAATACAGAGCTGTTACCACATTTCTTCAAAATTACACATTCCTTGAAGTGGACCTTATTACAGGCATACCACTGCTTTCTGAAGTTAGCTGCAGGTAGCAGTAACTTGCTTTCTGTTTCTTTCAAATAACTATGCCTTAAAGTGTATCATTTAGTAGTTAATGTTTGGTTTCCCTTATGCAATAGAAGACAAGAGATCCTTGAATACAATCTGGTAGTTTTCAACTCATTAAAAGCTTCATTTGTCCATACAGCTTTCTGTGAATGGGACTGTCCTACTCAGTATAAAAAAAACGAAAAACCTACTGAAATTATTCATTTTCAGTGTTAAAAGTATTTCCCCGCTCCTTATTAGAGAAGAGGAATGGAATCACTGCATCTTCTATCCAGATGACTCACATAACCAGACCTAATTTCAGTTCAATTTTTCTCATCTTCACTCTAGAGAACCCTGGCAATGGGCTCATATCCACATCAAATCTGGACTAATATGAAGTTCAGCTTTCCCTTTTTTTCCAATGATTTCTTCTCAGCCAGTAAAGTCAGTCTGTCCACCATAATCACATCTAATTACAAATTTCCTCTCACTTTTACACTTTCGTGTTGTTTTCTCTCTAATAGTAAAATAATCCTGGTTAGACAATGTTTTCTTAGCTTCTATTCTGTGTAGTCTTGGTTTAGGACATTAGTAATTATTCAGTTTTGCTCCTACAGTAATGCTTTGTACACTCTGGCAAATGTGTGAATTTACCACTCAGCTCATCCACACCTCATTCACACCATTAACTTCTGTTTTTTTAATGAGGTCTTCGTGCCTGCAGAGGCAAATGTCATGTTCAGGATAGTGTCCAGAAAACAGCTGAAGTACCAGCAGCTTCACAGAGTTTTGTCATTTTCCCCACAGCCCCTTCCAGCTCTTCAGATAAATCCATTGGGCTGAACCAACCTTGATTAATGAGAGGCAATGGTACTTGTCACATAGACATTCTTCTAGTTGGAGGAGGAGGAGGATGTGCCATTTCCTCTACTTGCATTATTTGTTGATCATTTCTTCAGGCAGGAACGGTGCTGATAATACAGAGCCAAGCCCAGAAAGTGAAATGATGTGGTTGTACTTCCATGCATGGGTCAGGTTGGCACTGCACCCTGAAGCTCAGTTGGTGAAGCCTAATCAATCAGTATCATTTGTGCTCTTTGTGTTGCTTTAAATTGATTAGCACTTTCACAGCGCTGACACATTCTGATACATCTTTAATAACATTGTCTTTAAAAGCGTCTTAAGGGTCTCTGCCAGTGGGTGGGTATGCATCTTCCCTCTCATCAGTAATTTGAAAAGGTTCAGTCTTAGTCCATCCTTTTGTCTCTAACTATTGTTTATACTCTCTCAACTGTGGTAAATAAAATACAAAGTTTTGCCCTTTTGACAGTCGCACTCTATTGCACCCATTTTCCCTTACGATGGTGGGAAAAACATCGATTTCTGTGATTTTGTTAGTTCTCAACCTACTGATTGCAGACTCTGTATCTCTTGTCAACATAACTCTTGTGGCCCAAGTCCCATGTTTAATATCTCTTCTACATATTCCATATTTCCTACATATTTCCTACATTCTTAAAACAAATGTAGTTAGCCAGTGTGCTACATGACTGCACCACACAACTCATGCCTAGGTTGGCCCATTGCTTATCCAGTGATGCTTTTGACTTGAATCCTGTAGGTGCTGGGACAACACACTGTAGTGTGCTGGAAGTAGAACTAAGTCCCACTAAAGTCACTCCAATGGCACAAATACAGAAACATTTTTCTCTCCAGAAGTTTTCTTCTCTCAGACCCTCACAGGTGCAGGCTCAGTACTGCATTGGCTGGTTTTAGTGCATAAAGAAAACTGACAGAACAGAGAGACTGAGAAGCTGCAGTCCACTCAACTGCCTTAGCCTCAGCAGATGCTGGGTTTGTTTATGTTCTTAATCCACCTGACCTTAGGAAGAAACATTAGCCCATTGGGCAGAAACTGGAGTTACCAGTTTCCTCTTTTCTCTAAACAAAGAGCAAAGATGGGCAAACTCCTCCTGCAAGGTTCATAGAAAACCTTTCTAATGTCAGACTTCCTATGATTCAAAGAAATTATTTATCTAATTTGGGTGTGCCATTGCCTTATCACACAGCACTAATAATTTCCTCTGATATTTGAAGCTAGCTGCAGTGTTTTCCCAAGTCTTTGCTCAGTTTTCAAGCCTCTTTACTGGCTAAAATCATATTCCTTAGCATTCTTCATTCTCTTCTGTTTCAAATAAAACTTTCTTGCAAGCCCAGGCCCCTATACTGTAGAATAGTGACTTGTTCACTGTGATCTGTGGATGACAGGTATATATGCAAGACCATCAGAAGGGGTCCATACAGCTATTATCAAATAAATATTACTTTCTGTTAAGTTTAATAAAAACAGGGCACATTGATCCATTTTCATATATTTGAAATTTGACAGCAATGCACAACTCTCACAAACTGTAAGAACCATTGCTCCAGGCTGCTCCCAGTCATCACCACAGAAATTAATAGGTGGATTTTGCTTTCATTTACTAATGAAGATCCTGTTGAGTGTAGTACTGTAACCAGGAATCCAGTGAAATATCATTTGTGTTGGAAAGAATAAAGCATCACTACATGCCACTAAGTAAATCAAACGTTCTTTGTTGCATCCAGAGTCTTAATTAGAACCTCCTTGCACTCTTTAAGCAAGTTACATACCTCAGTAATCTCTCTTTCTCTTTGTAGTTCTCTGTAAGCTCCTGAGAAACCAAATCCATAAATAAACCTGCTAACATGGAAGGGAGCAATACAATCTCTTATGTGTTTCAGAAACAGGGGGTAGGTTTAGGTGGTTTGTAAAGGATGTTGTAGAACCACAGTTACAGTTCCAAGGCCAGAGATCAGTGTCGGAAATTATCCCACGTCTCAGAACTGTGCAATTCAGAATCCAAGATTTAATCGTAAGGAGATGAGAGAGAATAAATTTGTTTCCAGTTTTTGTACTTTAGGAAAAATATTCCAAACAAGACCAGAATGTCAAATTAACAGGGAGGATTATGATGAAATGCGAAAGATTTTCCACTAGAAAGTGTTTACTCTGAAGCCTAATTAAAATGTCAGTTCTGTTTCTATAGATCATTTCAACACCAACGTCAGTCTGATGTTTTTGTAGTGGAAGCAGTGAACATGATGGATATGGGCAGCAGTGGGTCTCTCAATCATTAATAATTTTTTGTGGTAAGGAGTTAAGAAGTCAGTTATTAAAATAATTGTGACTAACACAATTCCATAAGAAGGAAAGCAGGAGGAGGTACCCTTCTTCTTTTGACTTAGCACTAGAGGTATGTTAGCTGCTAGAACTAGTGCAACTTTCAGTCCCTGGAGTATGAGACGTGCTTGAACAATATATTTGCTAGTGTTAGGCATTTTTAATTATCTCAGGCTTGTGAGCACTGTTCATCTACTTCTGAGAACTGAGACACCTGAGCTATGAACTAATCATTTTAACACACTGGGTGGGATCGCGTATTAACAGTAGCAAAGATGGCAGGCATAGGGATGGGGAATTTTACATGGCCCAGCAGTTTACCTCCAGACTTCAC